ATATATTATATATATATTCATTCCTCAATAGAATTTATATATGTATACATATGTATATAAATTTACTAACACTTGTTGAATATTTTTTAAAGAAATTAATATAGCTGAGGATATATATATATATATACACACACATGTATATATGTATATATATACACACACATAAATACATATATATACACATACATACATATATATAAATATACACATATATATACACATACATACATATATTTTATTCATATATATATACATATACACATACATGTATACATGCATATATATATATATAGAGAGAGAGAGAGAGAGAGAGAGAGAGAGAGAGAGAGATTGATTCCAGTGCCTTACACATGCTAGTCAATTACTCTATCACTGAGCTACATTCCCTATTTATTTCTTTTAAAAATGTTGATTCAACAAATAAGAGTTAGTGAATTGATAATTATCAAATTGTGAGAAAAATTTTTTTAGCTTCCCCCAAATCAATTAGAGCACTAGAGTAGGAGTCAGAAGACCAGGGTTTATTTCCAGCTCTGTCATCAGCTAGCTTTGTGATCTTGTTTGGGTTGTTTTCCTTGTTTGGAACTTATATTTTTCTTCTGAAATATAAATGATTTAAGGAGACCAGGGTTTATCAATTTTTCACTCTATTGATAATTAGTCAAATAATTCTTTCAAAAATTAATTAATTAATTAATTTATTTATTTATTTTGTTGATAGACCCTTATTTTACTTATTTWTATGTGGTGCTGAGAATCAATCCCAGTGCCTCACACATGCCAGGCAAGTGCACTACCACTGAGCCACAGCCCCAGGCCCCAAATAATTATTTTATTGTGGAAATCTGTTCTGTGTATTTTAAGATATTCAGCAGCTCCTGAGCCTCTACCCTACTAGAAGCTACTAGCACCCTTCCCAGTTGTGACAACCCAAAATGTCTCCAGACACTGCTGCATGTCCTAGGAGGAAGGACAAAATTACTTCCAGCTGAGAACTACCAGAGTAGATCAGTACTTCTAACTTTCTGCAAGTCATAAATCACCTTAATCATCTGATGAATACTATGGACCTTCTTCTCCTATCAATTCATTCATATATTCAAATAATTTTGTGTGTCATTCCAGGTCTTTTATGATCCTTAGATTAAGAAATTATTGGACTATGTGATCTCTAAGGCCCACTTTATCTCTTAATTTTGTGAGTTATTTAAGGTTTAAGAGAAAAGAACATTTTTTTGATGTTCCATGTAGTGTTTTGGGACGCTCAGTTCACGTAATGATTCACTTTGTATCCCAAATTCACATCTATTAGCTTGGTTGTATTTTAAGTGTAGAACATGTTAATGACAATGAAACCAAGGACTAAATGTTCTTTCAATGCTGTCAATGTCTCTCCATGTCTTGTACACAGTAAGTTGTACTAGGCACAGTAACCAAACAATATAGGGTCTTATCATGTATTTATTTACACAATCTGGTTGTATAAGAACTATGGCAAATATGTTATACATTCTGGGAATTACATGTTTGTGAGCACTGGAAGTATTGTCATAAATTTGCTCTGGTAGATGTGTAACATACACACATTGCATTCCCTAGGATTTATCCAGGTCTACAGTGGATGCAGTGAATGAACAGATATTAGTTCTTATCACAAACACTGGATGCGGAATCTCCTCCATTTTCTTGGGAATTGCAATGGTGACATACATAGCTTTTCAGTAAGTTGATACAGATTTGTTCTGAGTAAGTTTAATTTGGTTTAATAGATGCTGCTGTCATTGTAACCTTGTTAATTTCATGAACAAATCCCAATAGGAAGAGGTCAGATCCATTAGATTATGAAGTGGATAAATTAAAAACAAAACAAAACAACTATCACTTCTAAAAAAAAGTTTGAATTGGGCTTTTAAAAAGCAAGAAAGTTGGGATTAGAAAGTATTTTTCCACCAGGATACAAGAAGACTAATTGATAAAAGAAAAAGTTGAACTTATACATTTATGATAACAAAATGTCAAACCACAGTTTAGGAAGAAGATATTTGCAATGCATGTATCTGACAAAGGACTTTCATGCCAAATATATTTAAAACTCTTAAGAATAACAAAAACAAGACAGATAGTACAATTGCAAAATGGGCAAAATAGTTTAACAGGTACCTCACAAAAGAAGTTATCCATGCCTAATCCCAACTTTTGCCTAATGGCCATTAAGCAAGCATATGACAAGGCTCTCAATATCATTTTTCATCAGAGAAATGTAAATCAAAACCACAATTACCATTAGACACCAAACAGAATGGCTAATATTGAAAATACTGACCATAGCAGGTATTAACAAGGATGTGGAACAATCGGGACTCTTATATATTGCTTCAGGGAATGCAAAATGGCAGATGCTTTGGAAAATTCTTTGGCAATACCTACTAAAAGATAAATACACATTTAGCCATTGATCCAGAAGTTTTACTCTTAGGTATGTATTCAAGAGAAATAAGTGCATGTGTCCATCAAAATATATGTACAGGAATATTTATAGCAGCTTCAGTCAGAGTAACCCCAAATTAGAACCATCCCCAATGCACATTAACAATTCACTGGATGAATAAAAGGTGCTATCTTTGTAAAATGTAATGCTATATAACAGGAAAAATGAACTACTTTTATACAATATTTAAATAGGATTGAGCAGAAGAAACCAGAAAAAGAAAAGATAATGTTTTATGATCCATTTCATATATGTGAAGTTTCAAGTGCAGGCAAAAGTAAATATAGGGGATAGAAGTTGGAATATTGATTACCTCTTGTGGGAGTTACTGAATGTTAAGAAGTATTGAAAACATTCTAACTTTTGATCTGAGTGGAAGTTCCATAGGTGTATACAGATGTAAAGAATTTTAAGACTTCACTAAGTACATTCTTAAAATATGTGCACTTTACAGTTTACCTTGATCTAGAATACCACATTAATAGGAAATAAAAATTCCAAAACTTAATTCAGTAAACACTGACTAGAAGTTGAAAAAAAAGAATCAAAGAAGAAAATAGGTATATTTAATTTTTGAAATACTAGATCAATTTCCAAAATTACTAGATCAAATTACTAGATCAAATACTAGATCAAAATTAAATTGTGATCTCTTATTGAAACTTAGGGCTATATTTCCATGATTCCAACCATTGCAATGTTTGGAAATATCCAAGTAAATCTATTTTAAACGGTTTCCATAGCCATCATCCTTTTCAGTAATATGCAGATCCAGCTTACTACGTTGGTGATAATGGAATTGTAGTATCTGAGAAACTCTTCTCTTCCTTCTTTCTAAAAGAGAATAAAGAGAAAAGGGATTGCTTAGTTGAGAGAGGCTATTATTAATCCTGTTAATGAAAGTCACTATATTTAGGATACTGTGATTCTGTCTGGAAAGATATTGGGGGTACTCTAAAAGTCAGTGTGTGTGTGTGTGTGTGTGTGTATGACCATATAATTTACCATACTATATATATATGCATATATTATATATATATATAATATAGTAAAATAAGTAATTTAATTTTAATAGGTAGTTATTTTATTTTTGTAGTACACAGATAAGATGTGGCAATGATTAGTTTAAACAGAAACCCTCATTAACTTAACATTTTTTTTTTTTTTAGCAAACTTCGAAAAGATTATCCTTCCAAAATCCTGATCAACCTGTGCATAGCACTACTGATGTTAAACCTGGCATTTCTGGTTAATTCCTGGTTATCATCGTTTCAGAAAGAGGGACTTTGTATCACAAGTGCAGTGGCCCTTCACTACTTTCTGCTCGTTTCTTTAACTTGGATGGGCCTGGAAGCAGTCCACATGTATTTTGCTCTAGTCAAAGTCTTCAACATATACATTCCATATTATATCCTTAAATTTTGTCTAGTTGGTTGGGGTAAGTGTATCTGCCATTGTTCTTGATGTCTTTGTTTTAAGCCTGTGTGTCTTTCTAATTCTTAGTCTGCTTTGTGCTGCTATAACAAAATACCCAGGAAAATTTATTAACATTCTATTTCCTTTCAAAATTAATTAATTAATTTTAATTGATATATTATTATTGAACATAATAGTGGGATTTGTTCTTTTAATTTTTATTTGTTCTTTTTAGATATGCATGACAGTAAAAGGAATTTGTTATATATTCATACATGAACACAATATAATATAATTTAGTCAATTTAATTCCCCAGTACCTCCCTTTTCTCTCCCCTGATCCCCTTCCTCTATGCTACTCGTCTCTTCTATTTTCATGAGATCCCCACATTTTTTTCTTTCTACTTCCACATATGAGAGAAAATATATGATCATTGACTTTCCGAGTTTGGCTTATGTCACTTAACACAATGAGATTTATTTCTTAAATTCTGGAGGCTGGGAAGTCCAAGATCAAGGGGCCTGCATCATAGTAGAAGGCATCACATGGGGATGGAGGACAGAAGTTACAAAGAAATATCTTCTGCAAAAAATAAACCCATTTCTGCAATTATGGTATTAATCCATTCATGATGTCAGAACCTTTATAATCTTAAGTTTCCACCTCATGAACTTTGGAGGACACATTCAAACCATAGAAAACTCTATTAGGCAATTATTTTGTGGCCATAATCTGTTAATACCATAGTTAAGGAATTAAGGATAACCTCACTTGTGTTTGAGTGTGAACCTCTTTTTCTGCCTATATTGCTCTATGAATTCAACTTTTAATCTTTATGGTGAGGAGTTGGTGTGCAAATATTTATTGAGTACTTGCTTATGTGCTGTGCTAAGTGCCAGATATATAAGGGTAAACCTGTTAGATTTTAGTCATCCCTTTACAGAAGTTACAAACAACAAATAATGATGGAACAGCTAACAGTAAGGTAGCTTGTACTTGCACCCGAAGCTATTCCAAATGCTTTATATGCTCATTTAGTCTTCACAGTATTTATTTTTTAATATTTATTTTTAATGATATTAAAAATATTATTTTAAAAATATTATTAAAATATAATATTTAATAATAATATGAATAATCCAACTATATCCAAATAGTTGGATGCAATACTTTTATTTTATTTATTTTTATGTGGTGCTGAGGATTGAACCCAGGACCTCACACATTCCAGGCAAGTGTTGTACCATTGAGCCCCCACCCCAGCCCAGTCTTCACAGTGTTTATATGGGATGGGTCCATCATTATTCCTACTGAGGACAGAGAAACAGAGAGGTTAGGTAATTTGCCAAAACTCCCTCAGTTAATAAGGACAGAATAGGAATTTGAATTGGGGAGTCTGTCTCCATAGATTGGACTTTTAACCTCTATGATCTTGCCATGCCATTTAAGGAACAGAAAAAGGGCTTGACATGCTATGAAAGGGTGTCTGGCCAGGTACAACCTGACCCTTTTGACACCTCATTGCTGCTGCCCTTAAAAGAAGCCAGAAATAGAACTCAGCATGCATAGTTTCCTAATATAAATGTCACTATATTGGTTTGCTTTCTTGTATTTCTTTTCAACATAATAAATAGTGAAAAGGTGTTTTGTTTTTGTTTTTGTTTTTTGTACTGGGGATTGAATCCAGGGGCTGTAAACTAAGCTACATCCCCAAACATTTTTATTTTTTATTTTGCAACAGGGTCTTGATTATTTAGTAAGGCTGACCTCAAATTTGAAATTCTCCCTCAGCCTCCTGAGTCTCTGAGATTATAGGTATTTACTACCACACCCAGCTTTCCAGCTTTCCTTCCTTTCTCTCTCTCTCTCTCTTTGTTTCTTTCTTTCTTTTTGTACCAGGGATTGAACTCAGGGGCACTTAACCACTGAGCCACATCCGCAGCCCTTTTTATTTTTTACTTTGAGACAGGGTCTCATTAAGTTGCTTAGAGCTTCAGTAAGTTGCTGAGGCTGGCTTTGAACTCACAATCCTCCTCTCTCAGCCTCCTGAGCCACTGAGATTAGAGGCATGCAACAGCAGGCCCAGCATCCTTCCTGTATTTCTGATGGGCATGGTCAGCTCAGCTTCATTCCTATCCTCCCTTGCCTATCCAAAAGAGATTTTGTGTTCAAAAATGTGTTGGATACAGAAGTGATATGTATTAAGTAGGATACATAATGGTACATAGGTAGATAGATTTTATCCCCCATTGACTTTGTGAAGACAATAGCTTCCTAATCAGCTACTCATCCTGTTGATGAGTTCATTAGCATAGTGCATGCTTTCATTGGATAGACAGTCAGTGCTATTATCTATGCTAATGTCAGGTGCAAAGACAAATAGTAAACAAATCATAATCTAAAATATGGCTTCAGTATACTTAGCAATCTATCAGAAACACAGAACCAAAAGCAGTACATGCATTTCCTTTTGTGTGTCCCTCATCTTGATTCAACCAGAAGATTGAAAAATATTGTGGAAGAGGCTTCATGAAATGATGAAGTGGTCATAAATGTCCCTCAATCCTGGCTTTCCTTTTCCTCATCACCACTCCTCCTTGACTCCCTGTGTAGAAGGTCCTCCTTCACTCACTCCTCACATGTGGGTCTTCTCCAGAGATTGTTTCTTGCCTCTCTGATCTTCTGGTTCCACACACTCCTAGGGTACAGGGAGATGCACGGAAGGTTAATGCTTGCACTTGCAGAAAAAAATATCTTGAAGAGTATCAAGTACACACAAGCCAGGGCCAAGCTGAGGCTGAGGCCTGACAGGTTTTGTAGGTAAAGAATGATACAATGAATCACTCTTAGACTTATTTTCTTACTTACAAAGACAGCACAAGGAAGAGTAGCTCAAAGTGCCAGCTCCCAAGTTCTTGTCCCACACGCTAAAAACAACACCATCAAGACAAAGGGAACACATGACTGCCACACTGAGTTCTGGGATTTCCTGTTACTTAGGAGCCAGTTCTAAACAGAAGCTGTGAGATTTTCTCTTCTGTAGCTCTGTTCTGAGGAGACAGGGTACAAAGTCCCACAATTCTGCAGCACCCAGGCTGGCGATGGAAAACTGTCTCAAGATAGCCTCCCAGGGGATGTGAGTAAGAGATGGCTTTGGAGCACCTCTTCACAAGCTTCCCATCTTCTCTCATTCATGGAGGACCAGAGGGCACTCTGCCAAAATTCAAATAAGCTGACATCCAAGCCTTTGTCTAAGTGGCCTATGTGGATACATTGAAGGTCCCCAAGGGAAATAAGTATTAGCATCTGTTTAGATTTGAAGCTGTGTCTTCCTATTGCCAAAGCAACCTGTTTTAAAGGTTCATTCTTTTTTTAAAGCCCTGTCCAAACTGGAGAACATCATACTATGTAAAATAAGTCAGTCTCAGAAAATCAAAGTTGAATGTTTTCTCCCATATGTGGAAACTAGAGCATAATAAGAGGAAAAAAGTGTGTGTGGAGGGGGGTTGAGTATCATAAAGATAGAGAGGAGTAGAAGATGGAGGTTGACAGAGAGGTAGGAGGGACAGGAAAGGGGAGGAAATGTGGAATAAATCTGACAAAATCATGCTTAGTGCATGCACATAGTGTATGTAGTGAATTCCAGCTTTATTTGTCTCTATAAAGCACCAAACCAATCTAAATAAATAAAAAAAAAAGAAGTGAAAGGAAGACAAGCAGAATAGAGGAAGGAAAATAGAGGGAGGGAGGAGGGGAGAGAAGGGGAGAACGGGGACTGAAATGGAGTAAATTAAATTTCATGCATGTATGATTATGTCAAAATGAACCCAACTATTATGTATAACTATAATGCATTAATAAAAGAAAAAAAAAACTACCCAAAGCAGATTGGTCCATGTTTAAAAAAGAAACAACCAACCAATAGATACATTTTTAAAAAATAATGTATATATCAACTTGAGGACTGCCACTTAATTCCATCCTAAATATGAGGTGTTCCATCCCTCTACCCCCATTCCAGGGGTATCTTTGAAACATGTCTGCATCATACTAGGCACTGTGCTTGGTGTGGACTATATAGATTGGAAGGAGCTGTCCTATTTATCACAGAATAGGATGGTGGAGGATTTTTGCACTCTGGGGTTTGGAGTAGCTTTGGAAAATATCTTACAAAACCCCTAAAATGTGGGTGAGTGTATGCTCTTCATTTAGGAGAAATACTGTTTTAGAAATAAAGAAATCATTTAATTTCTGCAAATGTACATGAAATTGGATTTTTCAACCCTGTGTCTATACTCACATCACGTTTGACCATTTTAACTGAACTGATTGCTTTATTATAGTCTGGCTGAATTGACTGGTCGTTAACTGGTCGATCTAGTCAAAATGTCAAACTAGTAATGAGTGTGGAAACAGCTTCCCTGTCAAAAAAGCACTGAAGGCTGCAGCTGATTGCCTGTGCCCTTCCTCCAAGGTGACCTAGACAAAAAGATAGTAGGAACTAAGGGGCAGTATTGAAAAGGAAAAAAATTGGCAGCCCATCATTTGAGAAGAAATGCTTGATGCAAACTCGCATTCTGATGAACTAGATACTTCCATTGCCAAGTTGATTTTTTGGCACTTGAGCTATTTTTAATAACCAGTGGGCGTAGTATTGGAGCCATTGGCATGCCGTTTAATTTAGCAGATTGGAGAACTCCTAGAAATGTTTAACTTGGAAGAATTCACAAACATTTTGCAAACAATGGTATTTTGATGCCCGCACATCTGTGGCTCATTTAAACAGTATCTTAATATATCAGTGCCCACAGTCATTGATCTGGATCCTTCTCCCATGATATAATGGGATCCTTTGGCTTCCTTTCCTACTCTAGGAATCCCAGCAATTGCAGTAGCAATCATACTCACCGTGAGAAAAGATCTGTATGGAATTCTGAGCCCAACAACTCAGTTGTAAGTACCAAGAGCTCTGCTCCTTAGGTGTTGGGTTCTGGCCTGGCTGGGTATGGTGGGATGTTCTCAGCTTGGGGCTTGGCCTTGACACTGGCTTCAGGGAGAACTTAGCCTCAGCCTTTCTATCCTGGACATAGTCACAGCCACACTCATGGAATGGTTAGCTACCTAGGCTCTGTATGACTTTGAGCAAGTTACCAAATCTCTTACTTTTAATCTCTTCTGGAAAATTGGAGTAATAATGTTTGCTGTCAATGTCATGTGCAAATTAAAATGAAATCACATATATGTATATGTGTGTGTATATATATATATATATATATATATATATATATATATTTGCTCAGCCTGTTGCCTGATCCATAGTGTTATATAACTGGAAGCCATTGTGATTATAAAACTCACAGACCATTGGAAAGATTTAGTGGCCATTATAAGGAAATACTGAGGTAAATTGGAAAATATTTTCTACCTTTCAACAATAAAAATCTTCCCTGAAGAAGATAGCAAACAAAGCTTTTCTTGGTAAATTGGCTCAACTTTATTGTTTTCTTTTCCCTCCCTCCCTCACCCCCTTTTCTCTCTCTCTTTCTTTTTTTTTTATTTGATTATAAGCCCATCTCTCTGATTCTCTAAACTGTAGCCATAACAAAGTAGTCATTCATTGCATTCCATCTCTTTAGAATCTTCTGTTATAACCATGTAAATAGCTATCCTGTGGTCCTTGAGGCTGCACAATCTCATTTCACATTTGTTTTCTTTCCCTTACATATCCATTCTCTGTATAGTTGCCTCTCAAGATCACGTCCACTATAGATTTTCTTTCCCACTGGACTGGAATCAAATGTAGGAGGTCCTGCTCCCAAGACTCCTCTGTCTTTCATATTGAGATGACAGTTTCCAGAGGGTCAAAATTATATTGCCCTTTGCAGCAAATGCTTTCTAATTAAAATCTTTGTTATTCTTTCTTTCTCTGCCTTTTCTCTTCCCTTCATTCTCATCTGCACCTCCATCTTCCCTCTTTGTCTGTTTTGTGTCTTAAAAGGTCCTCAGTGTCTATCTACTAGTGATTCTTCTTGAAAGATCAAAAGCAAAAGGAAAATCAGAACAAAATCAACTCCACTCTCCCCGAAAAGAGCCATTTCACATATGACTTTGTTAGTAAGAGGCAGATGGCTCTAAGAGCTTTGTTTTTTAAATAATTACATTTTGAAAGGTAATTCAACACATGGTACAAAATCCAAATGTACAAAAAGGTAGAGGATGAAAAATAAGCCTCATCCCAACCCCAGCCACTCAGCTTCTCTCCCTTGAGGTAATTCTTGTTACTAATAATCCTTGTATACATATTCTTTTGCATGTTTTTTTTTATTTTAGTTTTTTGACCTATTTTATTTTAATTGCTACATAGTAATCACATATATTTATGGGGTACAGTAGGATCTTTAGATACATTCACATGTTGTGTAATGATCAAATAAGGGTGATTAAAATATCCATCACTTAAAACATTTATTATTTTTTTGTGGTGAAGCATTCAAAATCCTTTCTTATAGATTTTTTAAACATACAATATAATATTGTTGATTATAGTCACCCAACTGTAACAAAACATCAGAACTTATTCCTTCCCACTATTCTCCTCACCCTCTCAAAACTATTACTATTCTACTCTCTACTTCTACATCAACTATTTTAGATTCCACATGTGAATGATGTCTTGCACAATTTGTTACTGAAATGGTGAATATATATGACTTTACACATTACTCTTTTCACTTCATAAATATCTTGGAGATGACTATCCAAACATACAGTTTGCCTCATTTTACAAGTTTTTAAAATACCTTCTTTCAAGGCTGAAGATAATATTTAGAAATCCCTAAGCATTGGAGTCCATTAAGAAAATTAAATATTTTTTCACACCCTCCCAAGTTGCATACACACAAAATCATACATACATGAAATTATCTACACCAAAACGTGAACAACATGTTCAAAGAGAGTTTTCCTGGCTTTAAAAAAGAGAGATCCCAAAGGGGAATGAATGAAAGAGAGGAGAGATGGGAATAGAAAAGACAGCAGACTGAATTGGACATAACTTTCCTATGTTCATATATGAATACATGACCAGTGAGACTCCACATCATGTACAACCACAAGAATGAGATCCTAATTAGGATGTTATATTCCATATATGTACAATATGTCGAAATATGCTGTACTGTCATGTATATCTAAAAAGATCAAAAATTTTTATTGTAACTAAAAATTTTTGGTTCTAGCTCAGAGAGAGAGAGGGGGGGGCAGGTCCCTGCAAAGCTAACACACAGTTGAATTCATCAAGTTTGTCTGTGTTCAAAAACTAGAGGCAATTCCTCAGTAATTAGATATGTTATTAAATTAAGTAACTATCCATATGAACCATAAGAAATTTCTTTAATAGAAACTGTAGAGCCTTTAATCAATCCAGTGGCTAGTGTTGCTTTTTATAGTTCAAATATATCATATTTTAAAGCATTTTTACTAACTCTGATCAGCTCATCATTGTTGATAGAGCATTCAGAAAAGCCATTAATTGCTCATGTCCTTCTACTGTAATATTTATAATGCAGAGTTGAATCCGTCCTGCAAATAAAACTCAGGTGTAAGGTGGGGAGAGGAGAGTCACTTTGGGGGAAAAAACATAATTTGTTTTTCTGCTGATGAAAAATAGTCTTCTAGGGAATTCGACTGAGAGGTTTCTGCCTATGTAGGACAGAAACATCTTATGGGATTTCTAACTTGGTATTGAAGAGTACCCTTAACTGGGCTCAGAAGGTTAGTGTTTTAGTCCTAACTCTGCTACCATTGGGTGTGAGTGAACTCTGTCAAGTTCTTCATCTCTCTAGGTCTAGGTGTCCTTAGATTAAATGGAACTGACTAAGTCATGTTCAGAATCTTGGTAAAATAGGAGCTAATGTTTTCCTACCTCACTGTAGTCTTTTTTTTTGTTGTTGTTTGTTTCTTATAGTTGTTGGATCAAAGATGATTCTCTCTTTTACATCTCAGTGGTGGCTTATTTTTGCCTCATATTTCTGATGAATCTCTCCATGTTCTGCATTGTCCTTGCTCAACTGAATTCCATGAAATCCCAAAGCCAGAAGACTCGGCAGAAGATGATTCTGCATGATCTCAAAGGCACATTAAGCCTGACATTCTTGCTTGGCCTCACCTGGGGGTTTGCCTTTTTCGCCTGGGGACCCATGAGGATATTTTTCTTATATCTTTTTGCCATTTGTAACACTTTACAAGGTAACTGCTGCTTCTCTGTTCTCTGTGTGGCTACCTACACCTTCACCAAGTGTTTGGTTGCTTTGAAAAATAACCTCATCTTTTAGAGACTTAAAGGAGGAGAAAATAGTCCAGGAGGCCTCTGTTCACAACTATTTGACAAGAAGTCATTGGAAATATTAGCTAGATGTTACCCCTCATTGTAGGAATGAAGTTTAAGAATGTAAGAATTGTAGGAATGAAGGTTAGAGCAAGGAGTAGTGGGCCAAGGCAACAGGCCAAGGTTCTAGTCTTGGTTTTGCTACAAATCCTCTTCAGAATCTCACCATAACTGATTGAATTAGATGATCCTAAGCTAAGAGCTCTATAGCTCTTTAATCTCCTTCATATATTCTGGTAAAGAAATAAATGATAAATGAAGTGATTAACAATAGAAAAAAGGCAACATAAGAAGTAAAGCTGGGGGGCTGGTTAATATATTTTTGAGTAATTATTGATTTGTCCTATAAAAACAATCTTTGGGTGATTTGGGGACGCATGTAGAATTGATTCATGGAGGACTGAAGCTCCTCTTCATACTATTATCCTCATCTTCGGCCAAGACCATTTAGGCTACTGGGGCTGGCAGGGAGCCAACTTAGCTCCATTGAATTAAGGTCTCCTTTAGTACTCTCTACTATTTTCCACTCAATATACACCTCCTTCCTAAATGCACTCCACTGGTGGTCCCAGGGGATGCTCCATCAGGAAAAGGTCTCTTTGGTCAAAGAAGCATGGGAAATGCAGCAGTTCATTCCCTCATTCTTTGGAATATAGCTTGTTAAAAACTCTCAGAAGCTATTGAAAAATATTTAAAATTTTGTTTCAACTTTACATTTTTAAAACCTCAGAACCTTTTTAAAATTATGGTTGTTTATCCTTGGGGAATCTCAGGAAATATGAATTGATATGTAATTATATTCCAGGCCCTTCCAAAGTGGTATAGGCATGTGGTGGAGCAATCTGTATACATCATAGTTTTACCCTAATGTCTTATGATTCAAGAACCCATCTCATTTGCAGCAGTATGGTGACTTAACAGAAATTTTGTGTCCCACCAGATTCTAGTCTACCAACCTTATACAGTAGTTCCCCTTATTTCTGTTTTACTTTCCACAGTTTCAATTATCAAGTGTCAACCATGGTCTGAAAATATTAAATGAAAAATTCAAGAAATATACAATTCAAAAATCTTAAATAATTTTATTATAGAATGTTGATATAATTGTTTTATTCTATTATTAGTTGTCATTCATCTATTATTGTGCCTAATTTATAAATTGAATTTTATCATAGGTATGTATGTGTAGGAAAGATAATATATATAGGATTTGGAACTATCCATAGTTTCAGGCATTCTACTGGGGATCTTGGAATGCAGCGCTCCCTTTGGATTACAGGGGATTACTGTACAGCCATATTCTGACTAGAAAGTGTAAAGGTGCAAAATGTGCTGTTCTTCCTTCAGGTTCCATTTAAAAATTTTTTTAGTTGCAGATGGACACAATATCTTTGTTTTATTGATTTATTTGTATGTGATGCTAAAGATTGAACCCAGTGCCTTACACACACAAGGCAAGAGCTCTACCACTGAGCTACAACCCCAGACTTTAGGTGCTATTTTTATTGCCTCTGGTAGTAGGAATGAGTTTTTTAGGAATACCCCCACCACACACACACACACACACACCAGACTTATTTGATCCCCTTTGAGATTACCTGCACTTGGTTATAATCTAGATTACTGACTGAGGCTTTAATGCTGGTTCTATATTTTTCCTCTGGACAAAACCACCTGACCCACACTGAGGTACTCTAACTCTATACTCCAGCATGATGCTCTAACCTCAAGAACTAACTGTACTTGGTGTAGAATGTTCACAGAAGTGGCTTAGGAACTATGTGCCTGTACAGACTTCTTTCTTAGTACTAAATCCAGACATCTCATTGGCTCACTAATCTGAGGAGAAATGTACTCTCTCTATTGAAAGAGGGGTTAAAGGAAAGCTGACAAAGAACAAGAGAGCAGCTTTGAGCTTGAAAAGGAAGGAGGTGTTTTCAAAACAGCCAGTGCTCCATTCCTGAGGTGGAAGTGGAAAGTAGTGTCTAAGCAGGGAGCCTACATGAGTAGAAGCAAAACTTAATTGGGTATTGTTTTGAAGACTAAAACCAAGGTCCCATAGATCCAGCATCAACAGAGCCAAGCTGTCTCTGTCACATATGCTTTACGTCAATCAAGCACCCAGTGTTCCTAGTCCTGCCTACAAGATAGAATGTGCCATCTATCTTGGGAGGGTGTTTTCAGAGCTCTGAGTTTCAAACTCAAGTCTTACCCCCCTTTTCTCTCTCTCTCTCTCTCTCTCTCTCTCTCTCTCTCTCTCTCTCTCTCTCTCTCTCTCTCTCATACACACACACACACACACACATCAAGTAACTGCAAAACAAGAATGCAGTGAAACACAGGAACAAGCTAGCTATTTACACAGCAAATGGCAAGCTTGCAATCTGGCTAAGGGGGTTGCCCTGTGGTCAGGTGGGAAAAATTATGTTCATGATGAGTCATTTGTGAAGGAAGGGTGCACAAATAAAAATGCAGGTGACAAAAACCTGACATCTTCCCTCATGCCTGTGTTCTGGTGAGTAAGCAGATCAATCTGTTATTGGAAAGAAAAGGGAAGGCTGTCAGGCAGAGAGGGAAAGCTGGAAGGCAGCTCATTGGGAATTCACAGAATAACCTTTAAGTCTGAGAATTAACAAAACTCCATGCAGAAAATCAGAGCAGTAATAGGTGCTTGATGTCACTGTTGCCCCTTGTTCGTGCTGAAGCTGGAGGAGTTTCACCTGCTCTGAGGCTGAGGCTTGCTCTCATCAGGTTGCTGCACCACCAGCCAGGTGGCTGCTGCTCAGACAAAGAGTGAATGCTGCTGATTTCATCCCCACAGTTGTGTGGTTACACATGGAGCTAAAGCCCTGGGGATAGTTAGTGAAAAATGTCATTTTGTTTAGCCTCCAGATTGCTGCCTCCCACCTAGAATCAGAATGTCTCCGGGCTGGAACCAGGGAACCAAGATCTTCCCAATCCAACTCCTCATCAAGTGACAATAAGTCACTGAACCTTTCCTGGCACAACATTCCATAAATTTGATGTAAATTTCCTATGTACATATATGAATATAGCACAGTGAATCTCACCATCATGTACATCCATAAGAAATTAGTTAAAAAATAACTATGGGTAAAGGGCAGAAAGATCAATAGAGGGAAGGGAGCAGGAGGTGAGGGGAGAGGAGGGAAAGGAGAGGTACTGGGGTCTGAATTAGAACAACATATATTCTGTGCCTGCATATTTATGTCAAAATAGATTCTATTTTCATGTGTAACTGAAAAGCAGCAAAAATTTAAAAAGAAAAAGGAAAGGAAGCCCCACCCCCCAACCGGAAAGAAAGCTCAATATCCCATAAAGCAGAGCATTTAATTTCTCCTCCTTCTCCTTCTCCTCCTCCTCCTCTTCCTCATTCTCCTTCTCCTTCTTCTTCTTTTCCTCCTCTTCTCCTTCTCCTGTACCAGGGATTGAATTCAGGGGCACCCGACCATTGAGCCACATCCCCCAGCAGCTTTCTGTATTTTGTTTTCAGACATGGTCTTGTAAGTTGCTTAGGGCCTCATTAAGTTGCTGGGGCTGGCTTTGAACTCATGATCCTCCTGCATCAACCTCCCAAGCTGCTGGGATTACATGTGTGCACCACTGTGCCCAACCAGCATCTTCTTTACCCAAGAGTAGTATAGTATGGTGGTTAAGAATGTGGGCTCTACAGTCAGACTGCCTGTGTTCAGTTCTGATGCTGCCAACTTAAATATTAGCTTTGTGACCTGGGTCAAGCTTACTAGATTTCTTGGACTCTGAGGTCTCTCATCTGTAAACATGAGACTAATAACACAATGCCTATCACAGAGCCATTGCTTAGCAAACACTAGCTGTGATTTCTTATTTTCTGGCTGTTCTGTAGCTTCCTCGCATTGCTCCTGGTTCCAACCTGGCAACCACAAAGAACAGGCATAATTTCTCCTTTTGATGACAGCCTTTTCAGAACTGTGACTAATGCTACCAACCTCTCCTCACCCTGTATTTCTCATCCCAAGAATTTTCTTATCTGGATACTCCAGCTTTTCTACAAGTTCATTACTATCCTTGTTTATTTTATTCTTTTGGGGGGGGGGTTACCTAGGATTGAACTCAGGGGCACTCGACCACTGAGCCACATCCCCAGCCCTATTTTGGATTTTATTTAGAGACAGGGTCTCAGTTGCTTAGTGCCCCACTTTTGCTGAGGCTAGCTTTGAACTCACTATCCTCCTGTCTCAGCCTCTCCAGCCACTGGGATTACAGGTATGCACCACCATGCCTGGCTATTATTCTTGAATATTTCTCTTTGTCATCATCCTCTTAAAACAAAGCCTCCTAAACTGAACTGGTAGGAGCTATGGTCAACCCATGGCAGATGGCAGAGATTCTTACCTGCCTCAGTCTAGATTCTTTACTTCCACTAAGGCCCTAACTGAAATTGTCTTCAAACACATTTACTATATTGACTTGTGCTCAGTTTGCAATGAGTTAAGATCATTTTGTTACTAATCATTGATGTGCATAACAACTTTCCATATAGAGTCAAACTGAACACTGCCCTGTACGCAGAACAAAGGTTTCTGAACTGGCCTTAGGCCCAAAATACATATTTTGAGATCCAAGAAGGAATTGCTAAGGTTGCAGAAGGCTGTGAGAGTTTACACTTCAAGTGCTTTGGAGTCCAAATCATCAATAATCTATTGAGCTGCCACACAGAGTACTGTAGACAAAAGGGAAGGTGATATAAGATGGAAAGGAAACATACCTCTCCCCTTCAAAGACTTGACACTTAGAGTGTGAGATGGACAATCCATGGAAAGTTATGTGGCTAAGTAGGGCAGATATTATGAGAAATGAAGCATCATGGGAGTTCAGGAGTGGTAAAGGTGAGTTCCAGATTGAGGCATCTGTAAAGGCTTTGTGGATAAAGACTTTTGGCATGGACCATAAATAAAAGTGAAAGTATCAACAGGAGTTATTTCTGCCAATTCCACCACAAACTTTTGGAAATCCAGTTGTCCCTCCTAGGACTTTGCAACAAGAATCATCTTAAGTCCCAATTTTGCATCCCAAGGAGAATGATGGGGATAAAAATTGGCTCATACTGCTCATAAATGCCTTTGGCACTCTCCTCCCACTTGTGGGACAAAATCAGGGCAGTAGAAATCAAGGGCATCAGATGCGTGTTTTCCACATGGTGTAATTGTGGGAAGATGATGTGTATTAGTTATTTATGGTCGTGAAGCTAATTACCCCTGAATTTTATTATCTCACACAGGGTATGAGGGTCAGGAACTCAGGAGCAGCTTAGCTGAGTATTTCTGGTTCAGAGACTCTGATGAAGTTGGAGTTAAGGTGTCAGCTAGCATTGTAATCATCAGAAGACTTGACTGGGTCTTGGGAAACTGCTCCTACATATGCCCACTCACATGGCTGTGGACTAGAAGATTCAGTTCCTTACCATGTGATCCTCTCCACAGAGATTCCAAGATATCCTCAAATGCTTGATTTTTTTAGAGTGAATGATGGGAGAAAGGGAAAAAGAGAGAGAGAGAAAGGGAAAGGGGGCAGGGGGAGAGAAAATATGACTTTATTATGTTTTATAACCTAATCTTAGCATGTCACTGCCACATTCTATTGGTACAATGTGAAAGGAGACTGCACAAGAGTGTGAATGACTGGATGTGGGGATCATTGAAAACCATCTCAGAGACTGGATATCCTAGCAGCTCTTATTTGTAATGGTCTAAGATAGATAGCAATCTTGGGGCAAAGGAGTGGTGGACATAAAGTTTTGATAACAAACCTTTTTGCCATCACTGTCTTTATAAAAGCTAGAAAAATGAAATCAGAAATCCGGTAATGGCCCTAGGGCTCTTTGGAAGTAGCATTGACAAGAGCAGCTTTGTGTCTAGGTATTGGTTACAGCTGATGAAAAAGACTGACCTCCTTCTCCTGGCTTAGGATTCCTCATTTTTGTGTTTTACTGTGTGATGAAGGAGAATGTACGGGAGCAGTGGCAGATACACCTCCGTTGTGGGTGGTTGCAAATGGATAACTCTTGTGGTAAGATGCCAGACTGGGTAAGGTTTTGAATTTTACATGTTTTACAAAACTGCTCAGATGAACTTATCTCCTAACTTGAGTTCAAACAGTATCAGCATCAAAATACAGTCTGTTTCTATGACCTGAAAATGATTTGTGTTTTTTACACTAAGATGAATGCAGTCAAGTGAAGAATGTGACTTGGGTCATATATTAGCCTAGTGGAGCTTTTGTTTTAGCACAGATTCCTTGGATCACTTTTCCTCTATGCCACATCACCACTGATTCAATCAAAATAGTATTGATTGAGTGCCTGCTGTGTTTAGGCACTGGGTCACAGGAACTTCTGGCCAAGTAGCCAACAGTAGATTGAGAGGATGTGAAAAGCAAAGAGTGGTGGTGGCGGTGGAGAGAACTTACCAACATGCCAAAGATGTCTGGCCAGTGGGCTGCCAGGATGGTTCTTCTGATGGCCTTCTCAGTAAACTGGGAGATGTAGTAGATGCTAATGTTGTCTCTTAGCAGTGGTGATTCCCGTGAGAATGTCTCCAGTACAGGCAAGTTTAATTTTTATGTATCAAAAGTGTCTTCCATCCAATTCTAGCAATTTGTCTCAGTCTCAATGCAAAGCTCAGTCTGCTTCCCTTAGGGAAGACAGCATTTGAACTCTAAGATTCTATGAGTACCACCAAGATCTCCTTCCTTTATATGAAGTGTATCTGTGACCTGTGGTCCTTATACTGTAGGGAAAGCAGGTCTCCTTGGTAAGTGCTTTGACTCTTCCTTTGTCACACATGATAGTACAAACTTACCTCTCATGACTTTGTAGAAAAGCTAACTCTTAGAATGAACAAACACTGTGTATTGAGGTTTATATTTCCCCCTGTTTTATTGATGTATTACAATTATACATAATAGTGAGATTTGTTGTCATATTCATCCATACACACAATATAACACTATAATTTGGTTAGTATCATTCCCTATTATTTCCCCTCTCTATCACCTCCTCTGTCCCCCAGGATTTTATATTTTAACAGGACTATTGAGGTATCATAATAGTCATCGATTTTAAGTGTAGAGTTTGATAAGATGTGTGTTTTAACATTTTTTGCATTATTTCAGATGGAAGTAGCAGGTGTGGGTTAAATGTTGGGTATAAACAGAAGAGACTGAAGAAAACCTTTAAGCACAAATTGTTGGCAGCATCCCTTAAATCAACTGCAACAAGCTCTACTTCCAAGTCTTTAGGCTGTGTACAAGGCACTCCTTCAGAAATGATCTTCCCAAACGGTGAGGAAAAGGCTGTGTTGCTTACATTTATAGCCCAGTGGTACTGAATTAATCTGAGGCCATGTAGTAGGTCTTAAATAATACTTCCTCTTCAAACCTGCACACACACACACACACACACACACACACACACACACAGCTTTAGTCAGATTTTTCATCACTGTGACCAAAAATCATGACAAGAACAATATAAAGAAAGAACAATTTATGTGGGGCTCACAGTTTCAGAGGTTCAGTTCATTGACAGCTGACTTCATAGCTCTGGGTCCAAAGTGAGGTAGAACATCATGGCAGAAGGGTGTGGTAGAGGAAAGCAGCTCAGAACATGGCAACAGGAAGCAGAGAGAGCTCTGCTCACCAGGAACAAAATATAAACTCCAAAGTTATGCCCAAGTGACCTACCTCCTCCAGCTACGCTCCACCTGCCTACAGTAACCATAACCATTGACCCAGTTAATACATATTAGTGGATTAATACAATGGTTAGGTAACAACTGTCATAATCTAATAAATTTCACCTGTGAACAGTCTTGCATTGTCTCACACATGAACTTTTAAGGGACATCTCATAACCAAACCACACACATACATACATGTACACATCTGGGCTCATTCTTGGCTGAGAACATGTATAGAGAAGCACTTAGCAAACTTAATATGTACAAATCTGATGAGTTATTATACTAATGGGACTACAGGAGACAGGTTAGAAAAATTCATGGGAGTTAAAAACAATTGTCACAGACTGTTGAAAGCACAAGAACCTAGACATTGTATAATCCTGTTCCCTAATTTTACAGATGTGAAACATTAATCAGGGTAAAGGAAAGTGCCTTAAGGACAGTCATTCTGTTCAGCAGCAGCAGACTGGGACCAGAAATAAGGTCTCCTGGCTTTCAGGACTAGTGCACCCTACCAAGATTACCCTTTGAGTTACATGTTCACCTTGTTCTATAGGAAGCAATATTTATAGGTAGAGACTAGAGATGGAGCATTGGGAGAGAAAGTGTAAGGAAAGGATGGGTCTGTAGGCTAAAACAGAGAAAGATAAAGTGATCAAGAACTTAACAACTTTAAGTTGATGTGATGACATTGCATTCTGTACTTCTAGTTGGTCCATGATGCAATGATCTTGGTTGACTTTCTTGAAGACCAGAGTAGACCCCCGCTCACACACAGATAGACCACCTTTGTAGCCATTCTCTCACCCTCTCAGTGCTCATCCACTTGTATTTTTTTTTTATTATGTTGGTTCCAAAAAAAAAAAAAAAAACAGCTGTTTTCCAGAGCTGAAGCTCATCTGGAAGTAGTATGGTGGATTTTAAAAGCACTTAACTTTGTATGGGAAAGCTAGTAGTACATTAAAGAAACCTTTCCTTGGCCACAAGCATTTATCAGACTCTAGCCAACTAACTTGTGGGTATGTTCTGGTGCTCATATGGAGGCACAGGGGAGCCACAGCACAGAGAAGACCTGGACTGTGGAAGCTCCTTTCTGCATAATAGTTGGGGCTGGTTGGATGATAACATTTTGGCCAAAGGATTAGTTAGTATTGGTTCCCCTGCTGCCCCTGGAGTATATTTCATTAGCAAATAAATAGTACAAATGTACACATATTTTTCTTCAGAGGAACAGTAGCAATACATGTGAAGGATTCTAATATTGTTGTACTAAGCAATAGACCTGGACAGCCAAGAGGCCTGGGACCTGTCTCAAAGTGAGTGACAGGTAGACAGCCCCATGTTCTAAAATTGAAGTTTGGATGCTACCACCCAACATGTGGTAGCCAAAAGCTAGACTCCACTAGCACAGAGTGAAAAATCATGCTCTCTTTAACACCAGACAATCTCAACTTTGAGAAATAGCCAAACTTCCAGTGTAAGAATATCAAATCCATAGGGAATATTACATATTCTTATTCTACTTTCCAAGGCCTCCAAAGTTTGGCCATAAATATCCTCCCCTAGGTTAAGTTTAAGATCTGTAACACTGTTATTCACAATGGGGAAGACACTTTTGCCTAAACAATATGCTGTCAAAACAAATTAATTCATTCCATATTTATATTAAACCATCCAAAGAAAGCAACACAATGTTCATTTCTTTTATTTTCTTATATACCTTTATTTTATTTATTAATTTTATGTGGTACTGAGAATGGAACCCAGTGTGTCACATGTGCTAGGCAAGTACTCTACCACTGAGCTACAGCCCCAGCCCTCTTTCCCTTCCTTTCTAATTGTTCMTTCAATCATTCAATACAAATTTTTCATGATTCTACCATATGCACAGTTCTTAATGCCCCAGCTAAAAAATATTCTTGTTTTTGTTAATGCAGATGACATGGATGAAGATACCTACTGTTTTTCTTCCTTGGGTTGTGAAATTACGCCTGACTGTGCAAGAAGAATATTACCTATGGAAATCAAAATGAATTCCAGCCACAAAGATTTTTTTTCAATAAATCTCAGCAGAGATGCTCACCTTCTCCCACCTCTGGGCTGGGAAAAGTGTTGAACTTATGAAACAATCTGCTCCAACCTCCAATGAGATAATATTTGGTGAATATTAAAGTTGTAATAATTCTATTCATTGTTACAGTTGTTTCTTTTTTTAAAGATTAGATTGGAGCCTATAGTTATGGTACATTAGGGGAGAAATGTCTACAGCATTTTGTTCCAAAAATGTTAACTGTGTGTATCCTAAATGAAAATAGTCAAGATTGGGGGCCGTACTGTCCTGCTCTGGGAGACAATTGCAGATGGCCAATGTATTAGTATCCCCAGCTGGCCTGACACACAAAGGAGAAGTAGGTAGGAAGAGCCACAGGTCATATCTTTTTTGAGGAAAAAAAAAACTGCCTTGTTTGTCTGTCATGACAAAGCACCTGAAATCCTCATTATTCAAGTTATATTTTGATTGAAGCCCCTTATTAAAATGCAAACATGTTTTGTGAAAAAGGTAGCTCATCAATCCACAGACACGCATGAATTTCTTAGCGGGGACTAATTTCTCAGCTAAGACAGCCCCTTGGGAAACAGTAAGCAGGGTCCTGAAGAATGCAACAGCAGGAAGTGTCTGAATCTGCCTTTTCTCCCTTGGAAGGAAGGGAAAGGTCAGGGTGAGCAGGACAGTAGGGGAATGGAAGAGAGAAAGATCAAAGGTGACAGAATGAGCAAAGATGAATTTTGTCTGCTTTGCATCCTTTGGTAAGCATGATAAGAGTTCTTCTTAATCCCATCCCAAATACCACCACTGAAGTTTCCCAGCCAAGCATGCTGCTCACATTCAACCTTGGGTACAAATGAGGAAAGAAATGAACATTCTGGAAGGATACACAAGCAACTGGTATCATTGATTTGCCTTCAAAAAGAGGGACTGTGTATCTGGCTGCAAAGGAAAAGAAAATTTACTTTTCCCTCTGTTTCTATATATCTTTTGAATCTTCAACTGAGAGAATATATTACTTCTTTGAGCAATAAATAAATGAATACACAAAGAAAGTTAATCAAACCCTTCCAATGAGAAAGAAAGATAAATCCTTGGGGTTTAATACTGCCAATCAACCTCCCTACAGTCCTTGTGAATGTGTATGATGCAGTGGACTGTGGAGACAGCAGAGCTGAGTTCAAATCCAGCTTTGCCACTTCCTAGATTTGTGACCTTGAGAAATAACAATAATCATACAATTGAAGTGAAGCTTAAATGAGATGATGTTCTGAAAGTTTTCTAGCACAGTGGAATACATGATATGTTAACTACTTTCTACTCACTGCCTGCTTACTACTCACCCCCTGTTGGCCCCACCCACCATGTCTATTCCATTAAAGGCAACACACTGGATCCTTGAAGTGAAAATTTATGTTGACTACCAAACAGTCTGGAGTTGGTGCCAGTCCCTGGTATAAAGTTCTTAAGTCTCTCTTGCCCCTTTATCAGCTCACATAATATTGAAAAGATAGGTAGGCTCTTAAGCCCCAGAATATCTGCCATTAAAATCGGTCCTCTTGTCTATTAAATGTTATCATAAGGAAATCATACATCCATTGTAGCCCATATGATTTCATGTGTACTTTGAAGCGATGGTGTATGTGTGTGAGAGGAATGTGTGTGTGCACACGTGCATATGCATGCATGTGTATGTGTTCGTGAAGGGACTACCATAAATGATGGCCAACATGTCTTGGATGTTACATGCCTTTGAACTGGCAACATTAAGTCACCATCATTCAAAAGTGGATTTAAGGACAAAACTTAGTTGTAGTTAACAAAGCTACAAATACATGCATTCTGCAAATGGTTTAATTTGGGGGGATCATTTGGTTGTTAAAATGCCCATGATTGTATTTATTTTCCAGACCCTGGTTTTTCTGCTGCTGTTGGAGTGATAAATGTGCAGTCTGTCTCTAATGACCTGATATGCTGTCAAAAACAGAAACGTTATTTTATAGAAATTTCATGATTCTTGTCATGCCTCCTCCTGTTAATTAGTAAAACATAGGTTTTCTGACAATTAAATGTCAGTTTGAGCTTGCAGGGAGAACATTGATTAAGCAACTTTAAGGGTATCTTTTCATTTTTTCTTGGGTCCATAAGATGGCTGACACTTTTGTGAAGATGGAAACAAATAATTACAGAAAAGAAACCCTAGGAATTTTTTGTTAAAAATATTATTTGTTCTTTTTAGATATACATGACAGTAGAATGTATTTCAAAATATCATATATACATGGAATATAACTTCCCATTTTTGTGGTTGTACATGATGTGGCTCATGTATTCATATAGGCATTACTTTCTTTTTTCTTCATGTATAAACTTTGCTTCATTCATTTATTTTTTATTTTATTTTTTACACATGGAGCACAAATTTTCATTTCTTTGATTGTACATTATGTAGAGTTATACCATTAGTGCAACCATATCCATACATAGGGGTAATGATGCCCATATGATTCTACCATCTTTCCCCACACACAATCTCCCTTCCCTCCCTTCTTTCCCCTTCTTCTCCTCTGTTCAATGCAAAGTTCCTCCATTCTTTCCTTGCCCCTGCCCATTATGGATCAGCATCCACTTACCAGAGAAAACATTTGGCCTTTGGTTTTGGGATTGGCTTACTTTGCTTACCAAGATATTCTCCAATTCTATCCATTTACCCATAAATGCCATAATTTCATTCTTCTTTAAGGCTGGGTAGTGTTCCATTGTGTGTGTGTGTGTGTGTGTGTGTGTGTGTGTGTGTGTGTATCATAGTTTCTTTATCCATTCATCTATTGAAGGGCATCTAGGCTACTTCCACAGTTTGGCTATTGGATAAGGCAGAAATCCATTTCTCAATACCCAGGCAAATACTCTTTATTGAGTACTGGCCAATGAATTTACAGAGCCCCTTGGAGCTTCAGGGCACAAGCTCTGGCCTTTCACTCTCTGCTGTGCCTGCCCGCAAGCTAGCAAAAAAAAAAAAAAAACCAGAATGGTAGTAAACTCTCCCTTACTTCTCCCTGAAGTAAGTCTGAGGATGCTCTTCCCATGACTCTAATATTTACTGTTTTGTAAGAAATTCCGAGGGTCATAAGGACCATCTGTGATGGCTCATGTCCCCTGCACCCAAGGATATGGGAAGATTGGGGAGGGTAAAAAAAAAAACAGAGGAGGCAAGTTTTGTATATTCAACAGCTTAGGGGTCTATGGTTTAACTGGTTTGCTCCTGATCCTAACCTTTAAGCATTTAGGGAACTCAAGGAGTTTGGAACAATGGGCAGAGGACATATTGATCTCTGTTATGAGGCAAAACAAGTGAAATGGATTAAATTCATACTTATAAAGTCTGGTACTTCATAAGCACTTCATAAATATTTGTCACATACATGTCAGGATATACAGGAATGAACGGTATAAAATTGTAAGTTGAGAAAGTAGGATGGGAAATGAAAGTTTTCAATCTCTCAAAAGCAGTGTTTCTCCAAGAGGAAAACCTGTTATAATTTTTAAAGACATTGTGTTTGGGGGCCTGTGACAGTTGGTGAGGTAGGAGGCACATGATATTTAATCCTCTCAGACCTGCTTTGTTTCAATGAGGACCACTTGGTGAGAACACTATTGTTTTCCCATTTCCTGCCAGATCCTGTCAATAGATAAGATTCTTTTCCCATATCCTTAGCTGCATTTGTGGAAAGTCTTCATCTTTTCAGTGTCTTCTTAGAAATTTTTCTGAGAGAGCAGAAGAGGTAGTATAGGAGACTGCTTGTAGAATGTTATTCTTAACCCAAAATCATAAACTAAAATCCCTTTTTTGAAGAGTCAATTTCTGCTTATATCAACAAACAAATGGGCAATTTAAGTACAGAGAAGAGCTTTGATATAGATCAAAACAATCTATAATAAATAAGACAGATAAGTCAGTCTTATTAAACAACTAGCCTGTGTCCATAATATTTAAATAAAATAAAGTTTCAGTGAATGTGGCTCAATATCCAATAAGCAATTATTGGATATTGGTGCATATGAAAACTCTTCATCAGGGACCTATTATCAGAAAGGATCAAAGAAATTGACTGAGATGACCCTAAAAGTCCCCTCAGTTTGATGAAACTTTAGATAGATTCCTTTCTGATAATAGGTCCCTGATCCCCTTGGAGAATTTAATTTAGAGCCCTAGGAAGTGTTAATCCTTTCTCTGACCGCTTTAAAATGTAGATCCTCACCCAATCCATAACCAGCATTAAAACTTAGGAAAGGCTTTCTGGAGGATTTGGAAGCCATCACTTTGAAATGTAATCATCTCCCAGTCTCTCTAGGAAGAAAGGAGCCCAATATATTCAAGCGCAAATTAGCAAATGTAGATGGCCTAATCTCACTGACAACCATTCCCTAACTGCTTCCAGAGATTTTCCTCTTGCTCACCTCAGTACTTGGAAACTCCCCCACCTTTTATTTCAAAAGTTGAATTTAAGCTATTCCTCCTACTGCAATAGTTTTGACCCCTATAGCAATCCAAATGAAGTCTAGTTTGTCTGTTTACAAAAATAATAAAATACATGTGTATATGAAAGCAATGACAGGATTTTACATATCTAGTGTTTCTCATCTTAGTTCTGTGTAAACTTACATTTCCCATTAGCATGTAAGCTTCATGATGGCAAGAACTTTGTCTGCCTTGTTTCCAGGTGTACTGTCAGTGCCCAGTACAATATTTCAGTCCATGTTCTTTGGTTGCCAGCAAAAGAAATCAAATGTCTTTAAACTGAACCATATTGTCATTTCCAATTAACTAAGAAAAGGCACTATAATGAGTTTTCATAACTAAAATAATTTATGGAAAGGTTAAAGGACAAGTGATCTACAAAGCAGGAACCATGGGGATAATCTCCAAACAGGGAAAACTTCTCATAAGGAAACTACTCCTGGGATGGAGAAGCAGTAATTTCTTCCATCTCATGTTACTAAACTCACAAATGTTTCTGATCAACTAAGCTTAAAATCTGTGCTGTACTGAGCAGTAAGAGGAGGATTGT